CAAAGGTTTGCACTGACTTCTTTTTACGTCGATTCAAGTATTCGTTTTTGACAATCGATATAAATATTTAGTAATTTATCTTCGCCATAAGATGTCACAAGCTTTTATATAATCTTGTCTTGTTGCTGGTACAAAATACGAAAAGACTGAAAATCGAGGCAACGAAGAAAGCAAAACAAAAATATGTTTCTGTTTGAAATTTTAGCTTTTAATTGACAAAGAAAACAGAAGAAATAAAAGATGAAAAAATATAAAAGTAAAACGTGAAATGGTTTCACATAATCTTTCTTAAACCATAATATACGAACAAGTGTTGGAAACAATTGTTTGACTATTCAGTATGTCCTCGACTTACGATAGTCCCGACTTACGACGATTCGTGGTTACGACGCAACATCCATTAAACTTGTTTTGACTTATGCCGTTTGACTCGAACATGCAAACGTAGTGGCGGAAGAATACGCGGCGGAATAATACATGCGTGGCGGAAGAATACGTCGTCATACGGTGTTAGAGTAAGGAAGACGACGTAGCTTTGTTTCTGGTTGTACGCCATATTAGATTGTTCGTGAGTTAGTGCTTATTCACGGAAAATCGCGGGTACGACGCATCGTAGGTACGAAACTATGTCGTAAGTCGAGGACATGTAAATTCATCCTGGAAAAAAAAATTAAATTGACAACTTCATCAGGTTATTTAACACATTGACAATTTTTTTTATTATGCCGCCGACGACGAGTTATCTCGTGCTTGGCGTTTTCTGTTACATGTTCATCTGAGGTCGCTAACAACGAGTTTATGCGCAGTGATACTTTTAGTGTGGAAACAATGTTAACATTTCAGTTGAAGCTATAAACCAACTCGTAAAAGATTTTTTTTTATTGTCTAAGTTGGTTATTATAAAATTGGCGTTAAAAGTTAGATTTCGTAATTGACCTCAGACAGTCAACGTATTAATGAACTCGGCGGAGAGAAGCCAGAAAGTTAAAAAAAAAAAAAAAAAGAAGAAAAGAAAAGAAAAAAAAAAGATTGTAAATGCCAACAGTAATATCCAGTATAAAAGTTATCCACAACTACATTTTTGTAGAGTTCTACACAGAACAATAATATTTACATTGACGTGCTTTTCTTTCCGTCGTGTGAATCTTTTAATGGAATTCTTACAGTTTTTTTGGTGATTGTTTTATTCATATTTACTAAGACCCGTTTTTATCCCAAGTCAATAATAATAATAATAATAATAATAGTAATAAAAAAGAAAAAAAAATATGAAGATTTGTACATCAATCATTAATTCACAATCGACATTAGTTTGATTAGCATGTCAGCTTTGTTAAAGACTACATGCCCGCTCATAAATTAAAGTTTGAATCAGATGTATTCACACAAATTTTACTTTTATAACACTTTATTAGATAAACCACTACAGCCTACGCTACACACAAACAAGTTCAACTTGAGACATCTTTGTAAAAAAAAAAAAAATGTAGTATCTTTTAGTTCGGAAAAGACTAGTATCTTAATGTAAAGATACCGAAAAATGTCTGGTCCAAAGATTTACTATAAAATTGTGGGCTCTGTATGCGTAGTTTGAATAAAGTTTATTTGAAATTTTGGTTTGATAAACGGAGAAAGGGATCACTCCGCATTTTATAAAAGAATTAAAAAAAAAAAAAAGAGAAAATTATTTAGGAAGAAAGATTGATTTTTTTTCTTTTGGCTTCGCAACCATTTGTAGGTGATTTAAAGCCGAAAAATATTCTGGATTGTATATACATTTCTTTTTAGAATAACAATGATTATTCCAAGTAAAAGTTTTACTATTTAACCCATAGCTGGGGGAGTATATGGATTCATACAATTCCCTATGGTATATGCGCGTAAGTGAATGCAACGAACCCGACTGGAATTCGAACTCTGCTATCCATTACACCACCCGCACATCTACTTGGGAGGAAAAAATAATTGAAGGAAAGAATAAAAATGTGGCATTGTCATCCAAATTACAGAAGCATTTGTTTTGTAGTGAAATCATTATAAAAAATTAAAAATCACTGATTGTACTATAAAAATAATATAAAATCAATATCTTCACCCGGCGTTCTCTTTCTATCACGATTATTAACATCAATATTAACAATAACAACGGTAGTAGTGACGATGACGGCGTTGATGATAGGAATAATAATAATAATAATAATAATAATAATAATAATAATAATAATAATGCATGAAATACAGGGTACGTCAAAAGTAAAACCCTTTTTGTTTCGAGCTGAGGTGGATAAGAAGATGTGGAGCAATTGAATGGCCATCATGATCACCAGACCTAGCACCACCAGACCTTTTCTTGTGGGGTGTACTGAAAGATCTTTTTTTTTTTTTTACCAAAAACAATTCCTGAATTAAAACAAACATTTTCTGATACTTTTTTCTGGAATTAATGTAGAAATGTATTAATTTTGAACATATTAAATAGTTTGTCAACTGTTGACAAAGAAAAGTTAGAATAAGTATGAATATTTAATTTTATCACTTTACTATATCTAGATCTATTTCTCTCTCTCTCTCTCTCTCTCTCTCTCTCTATCTATATATATATATATATATATATATATATATATATATATATATATAGATGCGGTAAATGTAACGCCCTATTTTTTTCATGCTGTGATGAACAGGATGACGTAGAACAATTGAGTGGCCCTTACGACCACCAAACCTAACTCCACAGGAGTTTTTGTTGTAGGTTTACATGCCCAAAACGAAAACAATTCCTGAATTAAAACAAGCAATTTATGATAAACTTTCTGAAATTAATGTAGAAATGTGTCAAATGGTTTGTAGAAGTGTTGCTGATAAGGTTCACTGTTGTATTGAACATGAAGTGGAGCATTTTTAAATATGTTAAACATTTTGTTAATCATGACAAATCATGTTGTTTTTATGTGACAATACTTATACATTTTCATAAACTGATGTAATTTATTTTTGTTTAATAAAAGTTAATAAATAAAAGAAGGGCTTTACTTTTGTCCCACCCTGGATATAAGTTTATGAGTGCAGTACTTGGAGTTTCATAAACAATTACAACGTCCGTTAAAGGAAGACCTTATTGGGGTACAAACCAATGCTGGAATTAACACAAATGTTCTATTGAATACAATTTGGACACTAATGGGATTATTGGGGAGCAAGAGAAATTTTGTTTTTTGCGAAACTCCAAATATCTCTGAGCAGGATTGTTTAAAACGACTTAATAACATTAAAGTTTACTTTATATGACGTTTTGTTCACAGTAGTTTCAGAGAAACAGCGTATTGATAAGAATATGAAAGATGATGATAATAATAATAATAATAATAATAATGATGATGATGATGAAGATGATAATGATGATGACGATAAACAGACTAAAATTGTAATGTCCTGAACCATTTTGGGAGGATAAAATTATCTCCTATTAAAAATCTCCTTTTAGTAATATGAAATCACGTTGATTAGATTTTGTCAAAAAAAAAAAAGAAAAAAGTCTATTTACAAAAATTGAACAGGAAGTAAAATTATGGCGGAAGTGTGTGGTCTTATTAATTTCTGACAGCAATTGCCATGTAAAATACAGAAACAGAAATAGGAAAAGAAAACATACTCCTTCGGAAATAGGAGAGTCTCAGGAATATATAATGAAATTATAAACAGCCCGCAAGGCTGCGTTCGTGAAATTTTGAGACTGGATAAAAATGAAGACGAAATAATGGCGACCACTTCCAAAATGGCGTCTCAGGTTTCCTCAAATGTGAGATATCTGATTTTTTTTTTAAATGAAAAAAAAAAAAAAAAGGCAATAACTAGAAATACAGCAGATACATAAAAAATATTTGAACATTTATGCAACGTCAAACATGATGCTTTACTGGAGGCAGCAGCAAGAAGAATAAAAAAGACAGTCGTAGTTTTTAGTAATTATTTTGGTTGACTCAGTTTAAGCATATATTTCATACGCATCGCCTTGACATGGTATTTATCTATCAGAACCTTGCCTTGATTTGAATTCACCCCCCGAATGTTAATATCAACCGCACACTCACTATAAAATGCATTAAAATAATCCAGGAAGTAAAGTTGGAAAAATTTACCAGTTATATTCACTGCAACTTTAAATGAACTAATCGACTCATCTTAAAAACATTCAAGATTTTACAGGTACATGAATAGGTTAGCAGAGTATTAAAAAATACTTTCGTCTTGAAGGAAGATATTTCTGGGTTTCTCAATATATTGACAACTAAACCACTACGACAGCAGATATACAAGTGGACGATGGCATTGGCTATAAAGAATTTACATTGGCGTTGTCATGATTTGTTTTCATAAGAGCGCATATTTTATTATAAGTGCGATTTTTACTGATACCTGCTTATCCGAAATCAAATGCACGATATATCCCAAAGAATTGACCTGTAATCGAAGTTTTCTTTTTAATAATAATTATCATTGGATTTGAAATGATCTGCCAAGGTGGAGAGTTCCTCCCATGGAATCAATCAATGGCCATTGATTGTGTCTGTGACGAAGGCGAGCCTTTAAGTTGAACTGTGGTCTGATATGGAGAGGGATGAACCCAGCCAAGACAACGCTATGCATAAGTGAATACCTATCCGGCTTCTTCAACTCAAATATGTGGCGTGAACTGATCAGGTGCTCAGTGGCGATGCGATCTCACGACCACACCCTGTCACTGATGATGATGACGATGCTGATTGGGTGAGGAGGTAAGAGCGAACCAAGTCCAAAATGATATACAGTCTGTTTACTTCCATTTCTACCTCTAATCTTGAGTAGCTAAAGAAGGACAACTCTTAATTTCGAACCAAGAACAGAATAAAATTCCTCTCTCAGCTTTGGATAAAATCCTTCTCTCCCAGAAAAAAGTTAGTGAGGAAGTGAGACTAGAAATCTCTTCTTAAAAACCTACCGGAACCATTGAACTGGAGTCA